AGTTGTTGGAACTAAGTCAAAACTGAACTAGGTTAAGTTAAAATGTTGTTATGTTGTTTAAATAAGTTAAAATGAATAATGTCGGTTTAGTTATTGAATTTAGTTGTTGCAACTAAGTGAAAACTAATGTAGTTAAAGGTTAAAAGTTGTTATGTTGTTTAAATAAGTAAAAATGAATAATGTTAGTTTAGTTAGTAAATTTAGTTTTTGAAATTTAGTCAAAACTAATGTAGATAAAGTTCAAAAGTTGTTATATTGTTTAAATAAGCTAAAAAGAATAATATCGGTTTAGTTAGTGAATTTAGTTTTTGGATTTAAGTCAAAACTATTGTAGATAAAGTTCAAAAGTTATTATGTTGTTTAAATAAGCTAAAATAAATAATATCGGTTTAGTTAGTGAATTTAGTTACTGTATTTAAGTCAAAACTAATGTAGATAAAGTTCAAAAGTTGTTATGTTGTTTAAATAAGTTAAAATGAATAATGTGGATTTAGTTAGTGAATTAAGTTGTTGAAATTAAGTTAAAACTAATGTAGTTAAAGTTCAAAATTTGTTATGTTGTTTAAATAAGTTAAAATAAATAATGTCGTTTTACTTTTTTAATTTTTTTTTTGGAATTAAGTTAAAACTAATGTAAATAAAGTTCAAAAGTTGTTATGTTATTTAAATAAGTTAAAATAAATAATGTCGGTTTAGTAAGTGAATTTAGTTGTTGTATTTAAGTCAAAACTAATGTAGATAAAGTTCAAAAGTTGTTATATTGTTTAAATAAGTTAAAATGAATAATGTCGGTTTAGTTAGTAAATTTAGTTGTTGAAATTTAGTAAAAACTAATGTAGATAAGGTTCAAAAGTTGTTATGTTGTTTAAATAAGCTAAAATGAATAATGCCGGTTTAGTTACTGAATTTAGTTTTTGGAATTAAGTCAAAACAAATGTAGTTAAAGTTCAAAATTTGTTATATTGTTTAAATAAGTTAAAATAAATAATGTTGGTTAAGTTAGTGAATTTAGTTTTTGGATTTAAGTCAAAACTAATGTAGATAAAGTTCAAAAGTTGTTATGTTGTTTAAATAAGTTAAAATAAATAATGTCGATTTAGTTAATGAATTTAGTTGTTGGAATTAAGTTAAAACTAATGTAGTTAAAGTTCAAAAATTGTTATGTTGTTTAAATAAATCAAAATAGATAATGTCGGTTTAGTTAGTGAATTTAGTTGTTGGAACTAAGTTAAAACTAAACTAGGTAAAGTTAAAAAGTTGTTATGTTGTTTAAATATGTTAAAATAAATAATGTCGGTTTAGGTAGTAAATTTAGTTATTGGATTTAAGTCAAAACTAATGTAGTTATAGTTCAAAAGTTGTTATGTTTTTAAAATAAGCTAAAATAAATAATGTCGGTTTAGTTAGTGAATTTAGTTGTTGGAATTATGTTAAAACTAATGTAGTTAAAGTTCAAAAATTGTTATGTTGTTTAAATAAGTCAAAATAAATAATGTTGGTTTAGTTAGTGAATTTATTTGTTTGAATTAAGTCAAAACTAATGTAGATAAAGTTCAAAAGTTGTTATGTTGTTTAAATAAGCTAAAATGAATAATGTCGGTTTAGTTAGTGAATTTAGTTTTTGGATCTAAGTCAAAACTAATGTAGTTAAAGTTCAAAAGTTGTTATGTTGTTTAAATAAGTTAAAATAAATAATGTCGGTTAAGTTAGTGAATTTAGTTTTTGGATTTAAGTCAAAACTAATGTAGATAAAGTTCAAAAGTTGTTATGTTGTTTAAATAAGTTAAAATAAATAATGTCGATTTAGTTAATGAATTTAGTTGTTGTAATTAAGTTAAAACTAATGTAGTTAAATTTCAGAAATTGTTATGTTGTTTAAATAAATCAAAATAAATAATGTTGGTTTAGTTAGTGAATTTATTTGTTGGAATTAAGTCAAAACTAATGTAGATAAAGTTCAAAAATTGTTATGTTGTTTAAATAAATTAAAATAAATAACGTCAGTTTAGTTAGTGAATTTAGATACTGTATTTAAGACAAAACTAATGTAGATAAAGTTCAAAAGTTGTAATGTTGTTTAAATAAGTTAAAATGAATAATGTCGGTTTACTTAGTGAATTATGTTTTTGGAATTAAGTTAAAACTAATGTAGTTAAAGTTCAAAAGTTGTTATGTTGTTTAAATAAGTTAAAATAAATAATGTCGGTTTAGTTAGTGAATTTAGTTGTTGATTTTAAGTCAAAACTAATGTAGTTAAAGTTCAAAAGTTGTTATGTTGTTTAAATAAGTTAAAATAAATAATGTCGGTTTATTTAGTGAATTTAGTTGTTGGAACTAAGTCAAAACTAAACTAGGTAAAGTTAAAAAGTTGTTATGTTTTTTAAACAAGATAAAATGAATAATGTCGGTTTAATTAGTGAATTTAGTTGTTGGAATTAACTCAAAATTAATGTAATTAAAGTTAAAAAGTTGTTATGTTGTTTAAGTAAGTTAAAATAAATAATGTCGGTTTAGTTAGTGAATTTAGTTGTTGAAACTAAGTCAAAATTAAACTAGGTAAAGTTAAAAAGTTGTTATGTTGTTTAAATATGTTAAAATGAATAATGTCGGTTTAGTTAATGAATTTAGTTGTTGGAATTAAGTTAAACCTAATGTAGTTAAAGGTCAAAATTTGTTATGTTGTTTAAATAAGTTAAAATAAATAATGTCGGTTTAGTTAGTGAATTTTTTTGTTGGAATTAAGTCAAAACTAATGTAGATAAAGTTCAAAAGTTGTTATGTTATTTAAATAAGTTAAAATAAATGATGTCGGTTTAGTTACTGAATTTAGTTACTATATTTAAGTCAAAACTAATGTAGATAAAGTTCAAAAGTTGTTATGTTGTTTAAATAAGTTAAAATGAATAATGTCGGTTTAGTTAGTGAATTAAGTTGTTGTAATTAAGTTAAAACTAATGTAGTTAAAGTTCAAAAGTTTTTATGATGTTTAAATAAGTTAAGATGAATAATGTCGGTTTAGTTAGTGAATGTAGTTGTTGAAATTAAGTCAAAACTAATGTAGTTAAAGTTCAAAAGTTGTTATGTTGTTTAAATAAGTTAAAATAAATATTGTCGGTTTAGTTAGTCAATTTAGTTGTTGAATTAACTCAAGAACTAATATAGTTAAAGTTCAAAAGTTGTTATGTTGTTTAAAGGCCAAAGTCATCTGTAGCCACTCAAAGTTGTCCTCATTATTATTCATTTAGACACCTCAACTACACCTAGTACCTATTGAACACCTCTACCACCCTAGATTTGAACCATCTAAGCATTTTTTGCCTACATGGCAAATCGTTTGTGATTCACGCAAATCAGGCGCGTGAATTGTTTTTTCTCCCATTTTTTACCCTGCATTTAAGACATCCAACGTTAAAATCTTCTTCTTCCCCCAAATACATTTTAGAACCCTAATCCCCAATTCTCTCTTCTTCCTCTAAATATCCAACGTTTCTCTCTTCTAAATCAGTTGTGTTTTATCAAATGTCACAAAGTTCAGTGAATATCGAGGAAGTCGATGTATGTAAGTGATGGTTATTATTGTCGACTGAAAACTTCGAGGACTCCATTGAACCCAGGTCGTTGATTTTTTGGATGCAAAGCATCAAACGTTTGTAGTTATTTGAACAAAGACTACTGTTATTGTATTATTTGAAAAATCAACATTTTTGTATATTTATTACTATTATGTGGTTTGTAGGAAAATGGTGGATGTGGCTATTTTAGATGGATTGATCCGTCACTTGAAAATGTTGATGAATCATCCTTAATGAATAGATTCATAGATGGTCATAATCCGATTGATCGACTAAAGAGAAAAGTGAAAGAGCTTGAAGAAGAAAGGGATTCTTTGAAATTTCAATTGAATGAAAATGAAGAGAAGATGATGGTATTGAACAAGAAGCTCAAGGAAGTTAAACTCCAAAGGGATTGGGAAAATGTCAAATTTAACCGAGTTGTGATTGTTTTTCTTTGTCTGCTAACTATAAAATGGTTCTTTAATATTGTGTAGTTCAAATTGTAGTACTTAATTTTTTAGTTTTGCAGTAGTTAGGAGGCTATTTCACGTAATTAGTGTTGTACTTTATTGGTCTGTTAAGTTCATATTTTATATCAAATTGGAAGTTTGAATGTGAATTGATCAGTTTCTCTTTTATAACTTGCCTCTGTTTTATAACTTGCCTATAACTTGCCTCTGTTTGTTAACTTGCCCTGTGTTCTAACTTGCCCTGTGTTCTGAAATTAGTTCTGGGATCGACTTGCCCTGTGTAATTGTTGTTCAAAAACTGTGCTAATAACACAAATGCATGGCTGGAAAATACATAACACAAAGTCATGGTTGAAAAATACATAACACAAATGCATTGAGAGGTAATAAACAACCATTGTCTTGCATGCTTCAAAAATACATAGTCTTGCTAACACAAAGGCATGGTTCAAAAATACATCACACGAGTGTTCAAAATAAACTAAAGAGTAGCTTGTTGAAGACCCTTTTAACATGGGCCAAAATCATAACAACTTTCTAAATGAACTACTTTTAGTTTTTACTGTTTGCTTTCATTTGTTGCAACTGTGAGGTGCTGACTGCATCTTTTCCCTTCCATTTTAGGCCACGAGGTTTAAAGCCAATGTCTATATTGGTTGGTGAAGCACTCTTCAATTTTGTTGGCCCATGTAGAATCTTCTCACTTGATGTACCAGGCTGTAATATAAGAAAGAAAGTGTAAGATAAGGTAAGATCATAATATAGCTATCAGAATATACACCAAAACAGAGTAAACATACATTAAATACTTGGGCTCCAGTTGTAGGATTAGAGTAAACACCAAAACCAGTTGCAGGCCTTCTGTTACCTCCAGTAGCAGCAGCAAATGAGGCAGAATTGTACGGTCTTTTGTGACCTGATAAAGGTGGCAGTTGACTAGAAGAACTATCACTTTCAGTAACAATTGGGGTCCCTCTTACATTAGCTTTTTTTCTTCCCAATCCTCTTCCAGTCCCAACTTGAACCCTATTTTGAGGACGTCTTGGCACAGATTCTGTGTCAGCACAAATAGAACTTAGTTGACTTGATTGTGTAGTTGCATATGTGGTTCTGAAAGTAGAATGCGATGGACCTCCCATTGTAGACTATATAGCATAAATAAGGATATATGAATAACTTGTAGATCAATCAGAAAATGTAAATGAATTATTAAATCTAATCTTACTGTTGTTTGAGTAGTTCTTGGCACAACAGTGGTATCAGCACAAACAGAACTTTGTTGACTTGATTGTGTTCTAACCTATTGAACAAAAATAAGGAGATATGAATAACTTATACAATGAAAATTAACGCAAATGAATATGTAAATCAAATCTTACTCCTGTTTGAGAATAATTTTGTTGGCATGAATTTCCTTGACTTGTAGGTTGAGAAGTGCTCCCCCTCGTATACTATGTCACCACAAAATAAAATATATGATTATAATATATATAAACTTTTAAGCAATTTACAAATGTGAATATGAAGTATTACTTACTCTTGCACACACAGCTTTGTTATGACCAGTTTTCTTGCATATGGTACATGTCATCTTTACTCCTTTTCTTGAAAGTTTCCTCCATTTTTTTGGCTCATCCTTACTCTTTCTTCTCTTCTTGCCACGTCTGCCTGGCATTTTTCTTGGTTTTGGAGGCTCTATTGATGGATTTGTAGTTTTAGGCCACATCCTCATATTGGGAATAGGTTGGATAAAATGGATGTAAGCCTTGAGAAATGTTTCCTTCTTATACCAGTGCTCTACATGTTGATCAGGATCTTGATTCAAGTAATAATAAGCACAAATAGCATGAGGGCAAGGAATACCTCTCAACATCCACAACCTACAGTCACAATGTTTCTTCTCCAAGTCAATAACAAATGAATATTCCCCCTCACTAATCTCAAAACCATTCAACCCATTCCATTGAACATTACAATTATTTGAATACTCCTTGTTTCTTTCTAGTATTGCCCTTGCCATAGGTGCAATGTCTGATATCCATGTTTCAGCAAATTTGATCATGTCTATATGTCTGTTCATCATTTTATGCCTAATATCCTCTAACATGGTAATAATTGATTTATGTCTAGCAGCTAAGATCCAAGAATTGAAAGTCTCACACATGTTATTTTCTACAACATCACACTTGGAGTGAGTTTGGAAAAAGGCCCTAGACCAATTTCTGGGATCATAATGTAGCAAGTCCTCTGTTATTTCCTTCTTACCTAGCTTGGACATTGCATGAACTTCTCCTCCAAACTTGACTTCAAAGGAGGCCTTTGAGCATCTCCAAAACTGTTTCCTTCTTTCTTCTCATTTCCAGTTCACATGCCAGTTACTCCATATATGTCTAGCACACATCCTTTTCTCAGCATTTGGTAACAACTCTGACAAGACAGGAATAAGTCCCTAACAAAAAATATGTACAAAATAAGTAATTGAAGAAGTAAAGATCAAATTAAAACTAAAATATAAAAAATTGTATAATCAATACCTTTTGCATAGCTGACATTACAGTCAAACCTTCACCAGTTCCCATGTTTAGATCAGCAATTAAATACCTTATGAACCAGCTCCAACTATGTTTTGTTTCTGTATCCACAACTGCCCAGGCAATGGGATACATTTGATTGTTCCCATTCTTTCCAACAGCAACTAATAGCTCACCTTTACAAGCTCCCTTAAGAAAACAACCATCAAATCCAATTATATTCCTACACCCCTCCAACCATCCTTGCTTAAATGCATGAAAGCACACATAAAAATACACAAAAAGGTTCTTTCCTGGTTCAGTTTCCTTATCAATTTTTACCCAACAAGAGCTTCCAAGATTGGTTTGTTTGATCATATCTGCATAGTCACACAATCTGGCAAATTCGACTTTCCAATCACCCATGTTTTCCTTCATAATCCTCTGTTTAGCCCTGTAACAAAGAGTCTTACCAACATAAAGACCCAATGTCTTTCTAACCAAATCTTGAATTTCCCAAATCCTTATGTATGGTTGAGATACAATTCTATCCTTAAACTTTCTAGCAATTAACTTTGAATTACATAACTTGTTCCTGTTTAATGGAATACACTTGTGAACAGGATGATAGCTCTTCACAATGAAATCACCTGAGTCCCTGTGAATGGAAGCATATAACAACCACTTACAGTTAGCATTTTTGCACTTCACCCTCACTCTATGTTTTTCATTAGGTCTTAACTTTATCTGCCTCCTGTACTCTACAGCATAATCTGCCACTGCTTTCCTGAACTGATTTGCACCCTCAAAGACCATTCCAAGCTCAAAAATTGAAACTTCACAATCTTCATCATACCTAACTTTTTTGCTTCTCCTTCTAGTAGGTATATCTACTCCCCTAACAGCATCCACATCTAGTTGTTCATCACTATCATCACTCCAACAGTCTGAGCTATCAATATAATCCTCATCTCCACCTAATTTTCCTGCATATTTGTCAGTTTTATTTTTTCCAATATCCTCAAAGCCTCTATCTATACCACCAGCCTCTCCAACTGGTATTTCTTCAAATTCAGTAGCCTTTTTTCTCTGTTTTTTGTTTCTTCTTTCTTGTCTAAAAGCTCTCAACTCCTCATCAATATCTGAACCATCTTCTGAAAGTATATCTAGATCTGAATCACTACTCAAGAAATCAGATTCACCTTCTCCACCTAGGTTATCATCCACACCATCTCTACCTAGGTTATCATCCACACCTTCTTCACCAATGTTAACATCAACACCCTCACCACCAAGGTTAACAGCCTCACCTTCTCCACTTAGGTCAACAACCTCACCTTCTCCACCTAAGTTAACAGCCTCACCCTCTTCACCAAGGTCAACATCAACACCTTCACCACCAACATTAGTTAGATAGCCTCTAGGTCCCTCAGTGTCAAGTAAGGGTTCATCTAATACATGACAGACAAATACTTCAAAAGTGTCCTCATGTTTTAAGTCTTTAATTAGGTGTAGGAGATGTTGGTCAGTTGTAATTAGGACCCATTTTTTATTCAATAAATCCTTCACATAAAAGCCTCCAACAGTTTCATACCCTAATTCTTTAGTATAATACAGTAGTTCCAAAATGGAAAAGTGGTCCTTAATAATATACCTGAGTGCAGACACACAGTTTCCAACATAAGTAGGGACAAATATCTCGGATAAGATTCCACCGTGGTAAATCTTTGTAAATATAACTCTTTCCTCCATGGTCAATTGTTAGCCCTACAAAATATCAAACAAACCCTAGCTTAAGATAACGGAATATACTCATATATCCCATACAACTACTAAAAAACAAAGTTTTAAAGCATATTTTCTGGGTAATAGTAAAGAATGGACAGAATATTCGCAAAAATCACAAACCTTATATTTTTACAAAACCCTAGCTTTTTGGAATTCATTTAACAAAGCATGTAAAAATCATTAACAATCCTAACTTACACAAGGAAATCTTCAAGATTGTAACACGAACAAGACGAATCCAACTTCAATCTGGAGGAAATCGCGAAGATGGAGAGCTTCAATTTGGAAAAAATCGCGAAGAGAAAGAGAGAAGTGTTCTGTCAATTTTAACGATTTAGGAATCTTCCCCAATTAAGACATTTATAAATATACGTCGAATACACGTGGTAGTTGTTAAATGGTTATTCTATACACGTCGGATACACGTGGGGAGCTTAAATACACGTGGCTTGGCCGTTTATGAAAAGTGATAAAAAAATGCTTAGATGGTTCAAATCTGGGGTGGTAGAGGTGTTCAATAGGTACTAGGTGTAGTTATTGGATTTAAGTCAAAACTAATGTAGATAAAGTTCAAAAGTTGTTATGTTGTTTAAATAAGCTAAAATAAATAATGTCAGTTTAGTTAGTGAATTTAGTTGTTGGAATTAAGTAAAAACTAATGTAGTTAAAATTCAAAAATTGTTATGTTGTTTAAATAAGTCAAAATAAATAATGTCGGTTTAGTTAGTGAATTTATTTGTTTGAATTAAGTCAAAACTAATGTAGATAAAGTTCAAAAGTTGTTATGTTGTTTAAATAAGCTAAAATGAATAATGTCGGTTTAGTTAGTGAATTTAGTTTTTGGATTTAAGTCAAAACTAATGTAGTTAAAGTTCAAAAGTTGTTATGTTGTTTAAATAAGTTAAAATAAATAATGTCGGTTAAGTTAGTGAATTTAGATTTTGGATTTAAGTCAAAACTAATGTAGATAAAGTTCAAAAGTTGTTATGTTGTTTAAATAAGTTAAAATAAATAATGTCGATTTAGTTAATGAATTTAGTTGTTGGAATTAAGTTAAAACTAATGTAGTTAAAGTTCAAAAATTGTTATGTTTTTTAAATAAATCAAAATAAATAATGTTGGTTTAGTTAGTGAATTTATTTGTTGGAATTAAGTCAAAACTAATGTAGATAAAGTTCAAAAATTGTTATGTTGTTTAAATAAGTTAAAATAAATAACGTCGGTTTAGTTAGTGAATTTAGATATTGTATTTAAGTCAAAACTAATGTAGATAAAGTTCAAAAGTTGTTATGTTGTTTAAATAAGTTAAAATGAATAATGTCGGTTTAGTTAGTGAGTTAAGTTTTTGGAATTAAGTTAAAACTAATGTAGTTAAAGTTCAAAAGTTGTTATGTTGTTTAAATATGTTAAAATAAATAAAGTCGGTTTAGTTAGTGAATTTAGTTGTTGATTTTAAGTCAAAACTAATGTAGTTAAAGTTCAAAAGTTGTTATGTTGTTTAAATAAGTTAAAATAAATAATGTCGGTTTAGTTAGTGAATTTAGTTGTTGAAATTAAGTTAAAATTAATGTAGTTAAAGTTCAAAAGCTGTTATGTTGTTTAAATAAGTTAAATAAATAATGTCGGTTTAGTTACTGAATTTAGACGTTGGAACTAAGTCAAAACTAAATTAGATAAAGCTAAAAAGTTGTTATGTTGTATAAATAAGTTAAAAAGAATAATATCGGTTTAGTTAGTGAATTTAGTTGTTGTAATTAAGTCAAAACTAATGTAGTTAAAGTTCAGAAGTTGTTATTTTGTTTAAATAAGTTAAAATAAATAATGTCGGTTTAGTTAGTGAATTTAGTTATTGTAATTAAGTCAAAATTAATTTAGTTAAAGTTTAAAAGTTGTTATGTTGTTTAAATATGTTACAGTAAATAATCTCGGTTTAATTAGTGAATTTAGTTGTTGAAATTAAATCAAAACTAATGTAGATAAAGTTCAGAAGCTGTTATGTTGTTTAAATAAGCTAAAATGAATAATGTCTGTTTATATGTGAATTTAGTTGTTGGAATTAAGTCAAAACTAATGTAGTTAAAGTTCAAAAGTTGTTATCTTCTTTAAATAAGTTACAATGAATAATATCGGTTTAGTTAGGAAATTTAGTTGTTGGAACTAAGTCAAAACTAAACTAGGTAAAGTTAAAAAGTTGTTATGGTTTTAAATAAGATATAATGAAGAATGTCGGTTTAGCCAGTGAATTTAGTTGTTGAAATTAAGTTAAAACTAGTGTAGTTAAAGTTCAAAATTTGTTATGTTGTTTAAATAAGTTAAAATAAATAATGTCGGTTTAATTAGTGAATTTTGTTGTTGAAATTAAGTTAAAACTAAACTAGGTAAAGTTAAAAAGTTGTTATGTTGTTCAAATATGTTAAAATTAATAATGTCGATTTAATTTGTGAATTTAGTTGTTGGAATTAAGTCAAAACTAATTTAGTTAAAGTTCAGAAGTTGTTATGTTATTTAAATATGTTAAAATAAATAATGTTGGTTTAGTTAGTGAATTTAGTTGTTGAAATTAAGTTAAAACTAATGTAGTTAAAGTTCAATAGTTGTTATGTTGTTTAAATAAGTTAAAATAAATAATGTCGGTTTAGTTAGTAAATTTAGTTGTTGAAATTAAGTCAAAACTAATGTAGTTAAAGTTCAAAAGTTGTTATGTTATTTAAATAAGTTAAAATAAATATTGTCGGTTTAGTTAGTAAATTTAGTTGTTGAATTAAGTCAAAAACTAATATAGTTAAAGTTCAAAGGTTGTTATGTTGTTTAAATAAGTTAAAATAAATAATGTCGGTTTAGTTAGTAAATTTAGTTGTTGAAATTAAGTTAAAACTAATGTAGTTAAAGTTCAAAAGTTGTTTAGTTAGTGAATTTAGACGTTGGAACTAAGTCAAAACTGAATTAGGTGTCACGACCCAAAAATGGACGTGATGGCACT